GCAGGAAAATCTTTCACTGTTGATCAAGTCTACATTGCTAAGTAAAATAGATCTCATAATTCAACTACGTATAGTTGTCTTTCAGATTCAGCTCTGTATTAGATGTTGTAGATGCAGCTGAAGTACTGATGACACCACTCCTCTCTGGATTTACATGGTCAAGCACCTTACAAAAATGGATTTGCAAAGGGAGCAGAAGCAGGATTATTTTTAACTCTGCAGTTAAAGCAAAGGTGTTCATAGGTGACAAGTGATTTTTGCAATCCTGACACTTTGAAGGAGCTCATTTGCAGAAAGCACCCACTTAAAGTGGAGTCACTTGTCCTTTTTGAAAATCTTGATGAAAAAGGACCTGGACTGGTTTGCTACTAGGGCTACACCAGGTTTTAGCCATTCTACATATCCAGTATCATGAAAATCAGGAAGATTTAAGAAAGGGCTAATGGATCCTAATTTCAGTACAATTCATCTTCCTACAGAAAATATTAAACCATTCTCTGGTCTTTCTGGTTTTTTTAACTGAGGTAGATAATTGAGGAGTTCGTACGCTTTGTAGCCTGTTTGCTTCTAATCTAAGGGGTTAGCTTTCAAGTTTTATAGTTGTAGGATTGAAAGGGCCTTAAATTTTTTAATTAGTATACTTTTCACAATTCTAATGTTTCATATGGAAGAGCAGGTTGAGCTGCAGTACTCAGTAGTATTTTTGAATAGTTTTCCAGGACATTCCCAGCTCTCCTACATCCAAAGATAACAGGCAATTAGTGTCCAGCAGTAGCTAAACACTGAAAATGAAAATTGTCTGAACTCTAGATTTGTTAGTGATTAGCAAACCCTGTATTCCACTCTTGGGAGAAACTATGAAGACAGTCCATGCCAAAATTCAGTCCTGATGACTGCTTTTCCTCCTGGTTAGATGGTCCTTAAGATACAGAATACTCGCAAGCATTTGACTTTATGTCATGACATATTATAGTTTACATCTGTAGGTCACAGTCCTACAGTTCTGCATGCTTGAACATGGACCCTCAGATAAGCTCAGCCTCCCACTATTTGCAGGATTAGTGCCAAATTATTTAAGCCATGCTGAATAAAAATTCACATACTTAAGAACAGTATTGCTACTACTCAGACTGAAATCAGTAGTTTACATAGTAACTCATCTTAAAACTGGAGCGAGATGCAAAATGAACATAAATCCTGCTTCCAATACAGTCAGTGAATGATTGTGTTTTTACAGTAGATGGGAGAACTGAGGAATTATTGATCTATTTCCTTAGTTTTGATGTTTGTTTAGTAAACAAGTAAAATTAGACCAAGCACTAAACTTTTCCTTACAATTTGCCCCCATGTATCTCTTAAGCTAGTCTTGAAGGCTGAGGCTCTGTCTGCAGGTTAGTCTGTCTCAGTCAGAAAACATGAAATACAGTACCAGTGATTTGTTTGCTGTGTTTTCAAATGAAGGCACCAATTCAGATTAGTTTTCATTTTGCTGTAGAAAACTAAGACTGTGGCTTTAAGTCAGGTTTGTCTTCTAACTCTTGGCTCTTTTATGTTGTAACAAGTGTAATACAAGTTTGCATGCTGTACCTAACTGAACAAAAGGGAACAAAGAAAGAGACTGAAGACTGGGTTTATTTTTTCAGGTTAGTAGCAGATACGAATGACAGTGCTTGGGCTATCAGTAGTAAAAGGCTATTTCAATTACCAAACCCTTTCTTTGTCTATTAGTAATAGCACAATAGTCACTAGGCTGATAGCTTCTTGACCAGAAATAAATTAAACAGTAAATGTAACTTAGAGCTTTTTACTCCCCTTCTGAAGATTTTTAGTAAATCTGTAATTCACACACATAGTTATGTAATTCAAGTATTAGGAAGGCAGCCCTGTTGGTTTAATTCCATTAACCCTATTAAAACCAAAAGGATACCTGGGTGAAGAGAATAAGTAGCAATAAACCTGAGCTTTGCAGGTAAAAACCTCAGTTTTAAATCTTAGGTTACAAATGTGCACTGATGTACATCAAGTGAATAATCCAGTAGTGCATGATCAGAGTTCACAGCATAAACATTTGCCAAGAAACTTGTTTACTGGCAGTTGAACATTAACAAGACTATGGTGCAGTAATTGCTTTTAAGCAGATCTCCTTGGCTGACCATGTATTTGCATTAGTATTTATCATTTATTTTTGGCAGTACCCAAAGTGTGCAAAATATTACAAAAACACAGAAGGGGACATTGATCCCTGCCTCGTAACACTTAGGAGTGGAATGCAGAGGCAAATACTGAAATGAAATCATCAGCACAATGTGGTTCCCAGGAGTGTGGGTGTTGTTATCCTTTGTATTGATCTTGATTTGAGCTAATTTTATCTCCAGTTACTCATCTAGTCCATCATCATGGGTGGAACTTGCACAAATATTTATAATTATGTAAATATAATACCAAATAAATGTCAGCCCAGAAACCTGCTAACATTTGCTTTGCAAAATGAATTTTTTTAAAAATGAACATACTTAAGAACAGAGGAAAAGTCCTAATGATTTTATCATTCTCACTGTACTGGAAAGCAGGTCACTTTTGGGGGGGGGAAACTACAAAACTAAATGAAGCCCAGCTAATACTGCATAGATTTCTAAGAACTTCATGAAAAGTGGAGCTCTTGCTCAGTTTTTATTTTGCCTTTAAAGAAGATAATTATTTGAAGAATATGCAATATACATGTGTTACTGCAGTAGTACATTACAGTATGTATACACACATGCAGTAGCACCCTTAAATAACATTAAAGCCTTTCCTTGATTTGCCCCAGATTTACACTTTCGTTATTTAATCCCATAGTCCCAGCCAGTTGACCATTTGAATGTCTTTTGCCATCTCATGCCAATCCTGAGGAAACTGGGAGATGATAACATTAATTTCTCCTCATGGGATTGTTTTACTCAATGTTATAAAGAGAGTCTCTTTAAATCAAGACGAATTTATCTGTTATTTCATTAATAGAAATTGTTTGTCTTTCTTTACCTATCCTGCTTCCAAAATATTTATATATTAACAGACCACTGAAGTTTACCCTATTGCATTATTTTGGGTAAACAGTGTGCTGGAGGAAGATGAAGTGAGAACAATACATGCTTTGTGAAACTGAAAAATAAAGTTACTCTCCTTTTGCTACATTCCAACCTTGGAGAGTGCTCAGTTTAACCCCTGTCAGTCATTCTCTGTGGAGACTTCACAGAAACAAACCAGGTTACGGGCAGAGTGTGCAACCAGTAAACAGGGAAAATGCAAGGAAATTGGAGCAAGCATATACTCTTGTGAAAAGGCAGTTCTCACACGACTCACTTTGCCCCACTAGCTGATGATGATTCCCACCCTTGTGGTATAAGAAGTGAGGCAATTAAAGAGCAACAGATCCAAGGATCGGTAGTTCTTGGTGGAATCGAAATGAATCCCAAAGTTTAGGCTAATCACCCTAGCCACTTAATTATCCTTTCTCAAATGATACTAGGTTGTTTCATCAACTAAAAAGCATTCTAGATTTACAAATTTGGCAATAAAAGATGCCATATTGTTAATGTAGATTAATAGTTACATTTTATTACAGTTGTATGAAGTATAGTGACTTCAGAGTCACAGAGAAGAGTCCTTTATAATTGGGCTGTTCTCAGATTTGACAATTTTTTTCCGTGCTATAAGAAGAGATTAATAGATTTGGGAAATACTGTCCCAGTTTTACTTCTGTTGTATCTTTTGGTGTTGATCATCCCACTGA